TCCCACCAAGACCAGCCCCGCCCCTGCACACTTACTGTACATAATAAATACTCCGAGGTTCTGAACTGCTACACAATGCTGTGCCAGGAGAGTGTGCATGACCTACCAGGTCCCAGCTTTTCTGTACGCGTGTCTGTGTGTCTGTCCTTTATTCTTTCACCGCTCCAGTCAGGTCTCCTGGACCAAGAGGTTCTGGGTGCCATCCCCAGTCCTGCAAAAAAAAAAAAAAAAAAAAAAAAAAAGCCGGGGAGGAAGGAGGTGGGGAAGAGATACACACTTTGATGTTTTATGGCTATTCTGCTTTTTTTTTTAATGCTATAACATGCGCATTAAAGTCCACCGTGCGCTACAGCTTCTGCTTTTCCTCTCCCAGTGTTGTGTCTTAAGTGCGCCCCACACTTGTTTGATCTTTAGAAAATCCTCTTCTCTCCGTGCACGTCTGCGCTCATCCCTAGCCAGCCTCCGTGGCTCACCCAGGGCTCAGTGCAGCTAAGAAGCACAGCTGTGGCCTCTTCATCTTTTATTAAGGACTGTGTAGAACTTGCTGGACGTCTGCACTGTTCCCAGAGGACTTCCTTTGGGGTGTGTCTGTGATTTGTTGGCTGATGCTGTTTCCAGGACAGTGGTGTGAGGTCAGAATGAATGGGTTTCAGCTGGGGACAGGGACCAGGGCTGCCCAGGGCTGTCAACTTGGTCCCTGCTCAAAGATGAAGCCCATTATCCTTTGATCCATTTGATTGACAGGGACCCTGTTTTTCTGGCGTTTAGACGGGCGGGCGAGGTCTTTTGTGTTTCCTGCTGCCTGGGTGACACTTCCATTTGTTCCCCTTGTCACGCCCATTTTATGGAATTGGGAGGGGGAATCTTCCAAGTTCAGGAACCCAGCAGTCGATCTGTGGGCTCAGCTCTCACTGTCAAGATGCCTCTTGTTGCTTCTGTGACTGTTCACAAGGCTTATATCATCACCGGTCCTCCCGATGGTGATCACCGGTCCTCCCGATGGTGCTCTGAGGCCTGGAAAGAACCTCACACCACAAGGCTTTGCTTCAGGGGCCATTGCATGGCGTTTGGGAGCCCCATAGCTATCTGTCTTTGATGAAGTGGGAATATAGCCCAAGGCTGGCCTTACTGGTGAGCATGACTTCCCAGGAAAACTAATGCAAGCCAAGTCACAAAGGCAGGACGAGGCCCATTGGGTACTCAAGCTCTGGTTTATGGATGGGTGTTTTATGCTTGACATTTTAAGTTGGGGAACATTGCTTAAGTTTATAAAAGAACTCCGTTCCAAGGGCAGAGCATATAAAAATGTCCTAATGAGTTTCTACAGGCGGAGGCTGGTACACCAGATTCTGTAACTCATCTGTTCCTGCCCCAGAACCTTCCTGTATATGATTCTCAGAGAAGATTTGAGACAGCAAATTGATTCAGTTGTGAGACTTATATAAAATCACAACATATCTTTTATACAAAGATTTTGTGGTGCATATATGTGCTTGTGGATGTCAGAGGTCAACCTTAGATGTTCTCAGGCACTGACTACCTTTTTGTTTTGTTGGGGCTTGGGTACGAACTGTCCCTGAGGAAGGCTCGTATGTTTTGGGTGTCTGTGGATCCCCAGTTGATGTGGCTGTTTTGGGAAGTTGTGGAAGCTTCAGGAGGTAATCACAGGGGGTTGGTCCTTGGTGTACCTTGTCCCGGAGCCTTCCTGGTTCTCTCTGTGTGTTTTCTGGCCACCATGAGGTCAATTGCTCTGCCCTTCGCTGCCCTCCCTGCCACAATGGGCTGACACCTCTGAAACCATGAGACAAAATAAACAATTCTTCCTAAGTTGTTTCCATGGTGTTTGGCCATAGTGCTGCAAATGCAGTTAGCATAGCTGCTCTCAGCCTCCATTTGTGGGGGATTATAGAGGAATGGGAGCAGTTGTCAGTAGCTGTAAAGTCAGACCTATGGGCTTCTGAGAGCATGCCACACAAGGTGCTCTCAGTCTGTCGACAGCATTGTGAACTTGGCATTACTGTTGTCTCTGATTTGCTGCTGAATAAACTGAGAATCCCAGATGTGTGGAAGTAAAGCCAGCACCTGACAGAGCGGGACTTGACCCACGGCTCTGAATTCTGCTTATTCCCTTAGTAGAGGTGGAGACTGGAGAGATCTGGCTAAGAAAATCAGGTGGTGTCTCTGGGAGAAGGGGGCAGGCTGCTGGGCAGGGACACATGACATGATGTCCCTCCAGGCCATAGCATCATCAGGTGTGCCACGCCTTCCACACAGACTTAGAAGTGAGCGAATTTCTCTGGTATGCAAAGTGCAATAGGACGAGCAGCCTGTGGGTGGGTCTTTAGCTGAGTGGGACTTATCTGACTCCTGGTACCTAGGAGATGAGAGAGCCATACACGCACCTCTTCCCCAGACTCCAGCCGTAGGGCTGGGCACCTGGCACCCACACAACTTTGTGTTTAGAGCTGAGATGACAGCCTGATCAGTTGGCAAGGCGGTGTTGGCAGAAACCAGAGAGGCGTAAAAGGCCACCCCAGAGTGATGGGGTCACACATATTTACCAGATAATATGTATACACCTGACTGGGCCCCACTTTCCAGGGATTATTGATAACCATTTGGCTAAGCCCCACCTGGTAGATACCTCTGAAATCAAATGCTGGTGGGGACCTTGCCTGGAGAATTTGGGGCCCTTTGGGCTACCCTAGCAGTAATACAAAGAGGCTGGAGATAGATTCAAGTTGCCTGAGATTAGAAGACATCAACCTCCTTGCTGATAAAAGTTCAGCATGTTAAAACAAGATACTTGGGGTTGGGGAGGTTGTTCAGTGGTTAGGGGTGCTTGCTGCTCTTGCAGGGGACATGAGTTCAGTCCTCAGCCCAGCGTGTTGGTGCAGGGAGACCCACAATGGCATGTAACTCCAGTTCCAGGGAATCTGATTTCCTCTTTTGACCTCAGTAAACACACACACACACACACACACACACACACAATACACAGAGCACACACACACACACACAGAGTGAGAGAGAGAGAGAGATTTATGCATACAAATGAGTCTTGAAGAAAAAGCAAGATGCTTCTTTTGAAATTACTTTTTGTATGGCCTGTAAGATTGTCCACTGTTAGGAAAGACAGTTCCCTGCGTAGGCTGAGGTAGGGAGACAAGCCTGTAGGCAGGCGTCTGTCTGGGATCATGCAGCTGTTGTCAGAGGAGGGAGTGATTTCATTCTTTTTAAGATTTACTTACAGTTTTTGTCCACTTTATATGTATGGTGTTTTGTTTTCGTATACCTGTGGGCCGCATGCCATGCCCAGGAGGCTGGAGGAGATCATTAGATCCCCTGCAACTGCAAATGGTTGTGAGCTGCCACATGGGTGCTGGAAATGGAACTCAGGTCCTCCACAAGAGCGACAAGTGTTCTTAAACAATGAGTCACCTCTCTGGCCCTGGGGTACATGAACTTAGATGGTAACATCCTGAGAAACAATGAGATAGGGTTGGGGAGTTGGGTTTGGTGGGCAAAGTGCTTTCCAGAGCAGTGTAAGTTTGGAGTTCCAAATCTATATAAAAGCCAGGCATGGCAGTGCTTGTCTGCAACCCTAGGAGGGTCCCTGGGAGCTCACAGGCCAGTAGTGGAAAGCTTGCTTGCCTTCTGATGTGCCTGCATTTACACAACCCTCGCACACACTGTACACACATTCTCACACATACGTGTATGCATACGTGTGTGCATGCACACATACACAGAACACACTCACCCATATCCACACCCACACTGAACACATACGCTCACACACATGAACACACACACACTGGGCACACACCCCATATAGTAGATACATTCGTGTGTGTCCACATGTGTGTCCACTCACACATACAGAGTTGTTTTTTTGTTTTCAAGTGAGATGAGCACCAAGATGCACATTCAAGGATGAGGTCTGTGTTTGGGTTGAGCTCAGTGTCCAGGACTGGGGGTGAGTCACTGGCTCTTGGCTGCTGTCCAGGTTGCCGTCTTGGGCAGGCGTGCCATGGTGAAGCACTGCTGTTCTATGTTGCTATGGCAAGATGGTCCAGATATATCCCTGGGTGGAACATATGTTACAAAATAGTGCACATGGTCTCAGCTCATTTTTGCAAAGAAGCAAGCAGGAGCATCTATATCTGTGCCTATATCTGCATGTGAAAATGAGGGGAAATAGTAAAATACTCATCTTTGGCTGTTGGAGTTATGGGTGAGCTCTGTGCTTTTTAAATTCTCTCTGTGTGTGAAGGGAAAGCAATGATTGGATGGTAAGGGGTCCAATAGGTTGGTTCTGCAAGAGAAGGTGGCATGGTAGTCCTGGGCGTGGGTGCTGGGGTCAGCTTGGTCCTGGGTGTGTGACTCCTGCTTGGAGAGATGTCCCGCGCTACCGTCTCGCCAGCAAGAACGACGCAGAACACTCGGATCCTTCTGTAGTAAAGCTTTAATGTATCTTGAGAGATAGATGATCAGCTTCTTAGAGGGAGACCCCAAGCTAAGAAACCCAGCCCCTTATATAAGCCTAGGAGCTCCGAGTGAGATGTGTAGAGCCGGGATTGGTGGTTTGTATATCACCCCAGATGACGTCACGGGAGAGGCACAGTTTAAACGGTTAACTCTAACTGACAGCGACAGTTAACTCTAACTGACAGCGACAGTTAACTCCAACTGACAGCGACAGTTAACTCCAACTGACAGCGACAGTTAACTCCAACTAACAATAAATGTCAGCGCCATCTTCTAACGACAATAACAATAGCGAGGGCGACTCCTCACAGAGAGGTACAGCCTGTCTGACCTTGGTGCAGACGCGAACTGTCCCCTATAGGCTCATACATGTCAATGCCTGGTCCCCAGCTAGGGGCACTGTTTTAGGAGGCTGTAGAACCGTCTGGAGGAAGTAGGTCATTGGGGTGAGCTTGGGGCTTGTTTGCCCCGCCCCACTTCCGGCCTTTCTTTGCATCCTCTCTGTCCAGATGTCAGCAAGTAGCCATCCCCCGCCATGATAGACTGCACCCTGAAGCCGTGAGCCGATACAAACCCTTCCTCCTGGAGTTACTTCTGGTCAGGTGTTGGTGACAATGATGCTGTCTATTCCATGACAGTGCTATGAGCATCAAGAGGACAACGTCTGTAAACTGCGTGGCCCAGAGAAAATATTCAAATATACATGAGTAAGTCATGAAGATGGAGTGTGTCAGTTACAAGCACACACATGCATGAGGAACCTGCTTTAGAAACAGGTGGATCTCGTGGACTAAATAAATAAATAAATAAATAAATAAATAAATAAATAAATAAATAAATCACAGGCCACCCGATTTCACTCCCTGGCTGTCCAAGGGTGGGAATGTGAGTACCAGCTGGAGGCCTCCCAGAAGGCTGTGGGTGAGCAGTGTCAGCGATGATGTGTGACTCAGATGTGGGTGGGCCCAGCCATCAGGGCTTCTCTGGTCCTCAGATTGAAGCCCCCAGTGTGGGGGTGAGAGGATGGTAGAGTCAGGACGTCTGGCTGCCCCTCACCAGTTGCAGGTGACACTGGGTGGCCCCTCTCTCACTCTTGAGCTTGGATGACTAGCTAACCTCTGCTAGAAGTATTATATGAATTGTCAATAATCAAACCTGGTACAACAGGACCAGCCGCCTAAGTTCCTGCATCTAGATTCCCCTGCCGTGATGGACCTGCATCCTCATGCTGTGACCCAAAATGATCCTTCCTCCTGCACAAATTGCTTTTATCAGTCATTTTGTCATAGTGATGGAACAAATAACTCATGTGCTACTGGGCCCGGCAGTTGTGTTATTTATCGCTGGGCTCCACTGTTCTTCAAAACACCTCTGGCTCACGTTTTGGGAAGCCCTAGTTCCCTAGACAGTCTGTGGAGGCTGTGCTGGCTTTGATGTCTGTATTCCCAAGAATAGAGGCCCTGGGATAAAGTTCTTCTGGCCCTCCCTAAAGCTTTGTTCACTCTTCTTGTGAAGGGTTTGTCCCGTGGGAGCCATTTAAACTGTGATGAGGCAACAAGCCTTTGGTGGGCAGTTGGATCTGCTGTGACACACGCTAAGCCTTGTTCCCATCCTTGTAAATCCAATTTTGCTGTTCCAAATCTTTACTCAGAAGATTGAACTGGAAGAGGGAATTAAATTCTCTCAAGTTCAAATGTATTGCTGTCATTTGAGGCAAATGGGTTTGTCCCTAGCATCTCCGTGATGCCTTACAGGGTGTTTGGGTTGTGGACCTTCCTGAAGAGAGCGAACATTTGCTCAGATGAGACTGTAATAAAAATGGCCTCTGTCGGCCAGATCCTTAAGCAGGTGGGGTGAAACTTGCCCAGACCTATGAGGAGAGCAAGCTCCCATTCATAGGCTTCACCTCACTGTCTTTCAAACAAGAACAGGCCGTCCTCAGCAACTGTGTCCCCTGGTTCTCCTGACATGTCTCTCTGGGGAGTTGGCTTGCCCACTTTAGCAACCTGCATAAAGCCATCCAGAAGGTAACCTAAGAAGGCAGAATTTGAACACAGGACCAGATGAACCTTCTAGACTTCTGGGTACCTTGGCACCTTGCTGAGAATCCACAGTGAGTCAGGGCCTTCTGGCTGACTGGCAGGTTGTGCAGGAAGTTAGCCCATCCACACAGAGTGGGTGACAAGGGCATGGGGCTGTTCTCTGATGTGTCTGCAGCACTGGTCAGGCTTCTCTCTCCCTCCAAGCTTTCAGTGTCTCTCTGTTGCCATCATGCAGAGTCTTGTACTATTGGACTATTCCTTGCAGAATGGTTTCCTCTTAGACTCCTGCAGGGTCAGCAAGTGGTTTCTTAAAGGGCTGTGCTGAACACAGTGTCTGCAGCTCCTCTACCCTGCCATGCACCACAGGTTGCAAACAAACAGGCATGGCTTATTATAAAAACCACACTTAAAGCTGGGCAGTGGTGGCGCACGCCTTTAATCCCAGCACTCGGGGAGCAGAGGCAGGCAGATCTCTGTGAGTTCGAGGCAGGCTGGACCGACAGCCTCCAAAACAATACAGAGAAACCCTGTCTCATAAAACCAAAAAAAAACACACTTAAGAAAAAGAGCATGGGCTGCATCTGAGTATGACTGAGAGGTCAGAGTTCACTAGCCAGCCTAGGCTGGATGGGATACTGCTAGGTTAGCTGGATACGTTAGCAGGATGTCATGAGGCATGCTTGCAAATAATTGTCACCAACAAAAGAGCTGGGCCTGGGGAAGTGGCTCAGTGGCTATAAAGTGCTTGATGTAGGAACAAGAGGACCTGAGTTTAATCCCGAGAATCCAGTGTCAAAAGCTGGGTATGGTGACATGTGTGCGTGCAGAGAGAAAGAGACACACACACACACACAGAAAGACAGTCACACATAGAAACATACACAGATACCGACACACAGACAGACACATAGACACACAAAGATACACAGACAGACACGGCACAACACACACACACACACACACACAGCTCCATGCTCCTAGGGAGTGGCAAGCCCATACCTGACTTCTTGAAATAACAGAGGAGAGGCAGCAGCTTCCGTGGTGTGCAGACCCTGTGGAGGAGGAAATGGCATTAAGACACAGGAGATCTATGCTTATCCGACTAACTCCCCTGCTTGGCCACAGTTAAGAGAAGTCATCAGAGAATCGTTGAAAACTGCATCGTGTTGTCCTGCTGTCAGGGACCTGGGGCCTGCTGTGGCCACTGCCATCAAGTCTGCGGTTCTGTGGCTTCAGAGATCATCTGTCAGGGGCTTGTGTGCATTAATCCCATGAGTCTTTGCTGATGACCTTCCTGCTATGCCTTGCTTATCACTAAGTAATTTCCTTTAACCAAAGTTCTCAGCAGACACATAACCCTTCACCAGGATAGCCTCTGACAGATTTTTTTTTCTCTCCTGAGCCTGAACTTGCCATGTAGCTGAGGCAGGTCTTGAACTCTGATCCTCCTGCTCCATCTCCAGTTACATGTATACACTACCATGCCTGGCTCTTTGCTTTTATCATTAGACCCCAGGACTCGTGAGATGGCTTGGTGGGCAAAGGTATCTGCTGTGGAGCCTGACGACCTGGGTTCAATACCCAGACCCACATGGCAGAAGGAAATAACCGATGCATACACACACACCGTGGTTCGTGAGTGCTCCCTACCATCTATATATAGCAATACACAACAGATAAAGAAGTAAAGAGAAGCCCAAATATGAAGAGGCTCTTGACCCTCCCTAGTCTTCAGCATCTGCTCGTTAGATCTCTGTGGCTGTGATAAGAACACATAAAGGAGGAAAGGTCCAGCCAGGGGCCCCTGGGCCTCACTGCTTTGGGGCGGTGGAGTGGCAAAGAATCGTGGCAGGAATCATGGAGTTGGACAAAGTTGCTCACCTCATACAGCTGGGAAGCAACAGAGAGCTGGGATGGGGCCTCCCGATATCTCCTTCAGGGACATTCCACAGGACCCACCTCCTCCAACTCCCCCCTTCCCCTAAAGTGCCATGCCACGAGCGCCACCGGCTGGCAACCAAGACTTCGGCTCGTGACTGTCTAAGACCCAAGCACCATAGCGCTTTGCGGTGACATCCGTTTTCTAGGATGGATTTTGGAACCAGACAGATGGAAAATGAAATTCAAATGTGGCCATCTACTTATTTTTGTCAAGTGGGTGACTTGGGGAAAACTCGTTTATCATTTCAGAATTTGGGGTTCCTTACTTACAAGGGGGAGCCCTAGTGGGAGCCCTTTGACAAAGACGACACAGTCATTCTTCATGCAGCACTCTGTGCTGGGCACCTTGGAGGACAGGCAAGCATTGCTTCATAAGTCATCGCAGTGGCCTGTGAGGGTCTAACTTCTCACCTCCATCTTGTGCGTGTGTGGTGTGTGTGTGAGCGCGTGGGGGCCAGAGGCTGACATGCTGTGTCTTCTTCAGTCACCTTCGGGTCACATGCCAACGTCCACCTGGCCTTCCCTCACCCTTGGATCTTCCTGGTCAGGTGGTAGGCGCACCGAGGTCAGGCCCCTGGGTGCTGGGTGTCTGGTTCTTGGGTTCCCAGGGTCATGTCTGCCTTCCCAGTTCCCAGGCAACTGTCTGTTCGGTGCGAAGGAACCAGCTTCATTCTCTCCCAAATGTCACTTTAGCATGCTCACATATAATTCACCGTTTTGCTGCATTTATATACCATCCAGGCTATTATTAAATTAATATTTTTGCTAACGTAAGTCATATTCATTTAATTACAAGGAAAATCGTATGTCACTGCTGTAAACAGAGCTGACATGATGTTCTATAAATAAACTTCACTAGTCAAATAAGAGAGCGTTGGCCGCATTATTATTAGACAGCAGTCCATGCTGTAGCCCAGACCCACCCCTTGCTAAACGGGACGGGGGTGCTACAGGTGCAGAGGGGAGGCTCCTCCTCACACCCGAGCCTCTCCTCATCCGTGAGGGGGACAAACCCCCCTCAGAGAGACACTCTGATGACCACAGCAGGACTGGAGCTGGAACCCTGGAGACTTGCTTCCTGGGAATGAGGAGAGCTAGAAGCAGGCCACCCCTCTGCAGGACACACATGGGCCATCTTACCTCCGCACGCGGCTCTTCTCACGGGCTGTCTGCTAAGGCCATACTCCAGAGCAGTGGTTCCCTTTAATACAGCTCCTCAGGCTGTGGTGATCCCAACCAAACCATTGTTTCATTGCTACTTCTATAATGTTGCTACTGTTACGAATCGTAAAGGAAATACCTGATATGCAGGCTATCTGATATGTGGTCTCAAAGGGGTCACGGCCCACAGGTTGGGAAGCACTGAGTGAGTGAGAACATCTTAGGGCTTTGCAGTGAGGGAGTTCTCAGCAGGGCACAGAGAACACTAGCCATGAATAAAACACCTATAAGTGGGACTACATCATTGTGTGTGCACATGTACACACACAGACATGTATACACAGGTACAAACAGATCACATAAAGGTATACATACATATGTATACACATGTACACAATCATGCACACATGCACACACAGGTACACCCATATGTGTATACATATAGGTACACACATATACATGCTCACATGTATGTACACATACACATAGAAAGTTGCCTTATCTGTTAAAGATTGTTACATACATACACAGTGTTTTCCCTCCTCACACATCTTCAACAAAATTACCCATATCTGTGCACCAAAGGCACAAACAGGCTCAAACTTTGCCCAAGATCTACAACAGTCAGGTTTGAATGAGTTCATGGAGAGAGAGACAGAGAAAGATGGAGCGGAGAGGAAAAGGAACCTCACCAA